GGTATTAAGAGAGTATTTGGTGATGACAGACTGTTGTAAAGCAAAGGAGCTGGAAGTGGAAAAAAGGAGAGTTTTATGGAGACTGTCCTGCAAATACACCTCTCAGTAGTTGTATCAGTGGAGGGAACAGCTCCCTGAAATGCCTGAAGGGACTGTGTTGCAAGTGGAGAGAGGATGGTGGCATTCTGTGCCTTCAATACATCACTGGTGAAGTTCTCCAGAAAATAGCAGGTGCTTTTTCATCTGAGCCTTTGAATCTAAAACTACCTGCCTAAGGTATGACATGCAAAGAGCTTCCATAATTTCTTAGGTATCTTCGGTGCCTTCCCCAGAAGACGATGGCTGCCACGGTCATAGAAAGAGTATACAGAAGTTACCTAAAGATTTTCCTACAAGGATCCTCCAGACAGCTCTAAAGAAGCATTAGGTTACCAAGGCAGGAGGAAACTGTTTTATAACAGACCACATAGTAGCCCAGTACTTTTATTCAGCAGGTATTCTAAAGCACTAAGCTGTGCCTTGTGACATTGGTCATGTAAGTTCTGAATTGGTTTGGACCTCAGACATAGATGAACTCTTCCAGAAATATTGCACTTAGAGTTTCTAGCTTAAAAGAGGTAAAATTTTTCTGGTTCTGTGTTGCAGATAGTCTCCTTTCCTTTTTATAGGTAATTGAGATAAAAAAAAAAATCTATGTGAAAAGCATAAGTTGATAGTAATTCTAGTGAGCCTTTAAACATGTCTTTTAAACTTAATATTCTGCCCAAAACTGCATTCATTTACTCCTCGGAAGGTTTGGAACATTATTAATAGGAATGTTTCTGTAATTTTTTCCAAAATCTGGAGCATGAAAATGTTTTAAAATAACTAATTTCAATTATAGGTGAAAAATATCAATTAAGAAAAAAAGCCCAACAAAACATACTAGAGACATCAGAGCACACGATGGAAAATTGTGCAAGTCTTCCAAATATTTGACTATTGTAGGCTATTAGCCTGTGTGCAATATTTAGAAGTACTGTACAATATTTAATAATGCAATATTTAAAGTACTATGACCACTAAAACCTTGTAATTCTGTAATTTAATATTTAAAATCTAATTCCTACTAAAAAAGATTCAAAAGACAGGATCACCTAACCAGAAGCTAATAGAATAGTGTAACTTTATTATAACCAGAATTTATGAAAGTGATTATAGTATTTGAAAATATTTCTTGCAGCTCCTGAGACCAATTCTTTTTGTTGTTTTGGCTGAGATTTTTAAAATATCTCTTTTTGTCTTCTGTGTGTGGTACTTTTCATAAAGCATTCCCTCACTCTCATTCATTCCCCTCTGCTTTTCCATTCTACTTGTTTAATTAACAATTATCTGTTCTTACCAGACATTAACTACATGAATGTAAAGGCCCCCAAATGACCTATGTGTCTTGTTTTCTGCCTGTCAAAGATGGAAATTAACTGCCTTGATTAAAATACCAGTCAATAATAGGTAAAATTTTATTCTTCCTTAGGCTTATATTACTTAGTTTGCTTAGAAATAAACATCAGTCAGTGCAAATACAGATGTTATATTTCAGAATTTAAATCTAAGAAGACAGTCATCATATGAGTTCAGTGGTCTTGCAAAATGGACTATGATAACATACCAGCAGAGAATAACTATACCTGAACTGGAAAAGGTTTTCTTGAAGTATATAACTGTACCTAAGGATACATAGTGATTTACAGCTATAGTGATTTACAACTATAAATATTACAAAATATGGAAATAATTTCTTTTCTGCTTAGTTCTTCCATAAGAATAAAAGCTAATAAACAGAAAGACCATGTACGTTGTTACAATACCTGTTTCAAATAAATCAAATTATTCTAATAAAATATAATATTTAATATTTAAAGTATGTGATTTTTTCTAATGTGCTCTCTCTCCTGTCAAAAGGTATTTTAGTTCCTTAACAATCATACAAAAGGATCTATCTTTAGGGTACTTATGAATATATTCTGGTCTGATTACAAAGGAGATGCTTATGAATGTGTGGAACAGAAAAGTTTTGACACATTGTTACTGATATTTGGGGTTATTTCTTACATGATCATAAACACTGCATAAATTAAGTCTATTAAAATTTTAATTACTTCCTTATAGCAAGTGAATATAAAATAATATCAACAGGAATGTGCTTATCTATATCTGAAACTAATAAACTTCACTTTATTCATAGTCACGCATCTGTTATATACTGATATCACTTTAGAAAATCTTCCTTTTTTTAATCATCCTATTAACATAGCATTAGCTATGAATTTAGAATTATGAATTAGAATTTGAGAACGATCCCAAATATGTGGTTCCTTCCCAGACTGACACAAATCAAATGCATAGGTCCAGAAAAGCGTCTCCTGTCCCAAAATCAGTCAGTGTTTGGATATTTATCTGCAGCTTCCTTATGCTTTGTGTAAAATCATTTAAGAACTTTCATCTCGATTTGTCTTACTGTACACTGCTTTTTATTTTCTGTAATCAAGAGTTCCTAAGCCAACCCTACCTAGTTTTAACACTGCACAGGAAATAGTTGATGTCTCAGATATGAAGTGTCACTGACTTATGTCTTTATTGCTATGCCTGGAGGCAGGCTTCAGTAGAAATCACATGTAGCAAAGTAAGATTTGCTTCAGTAGCAGTGGGCTCCCACTTCTCATACTCTTGTACATACTAATCATACATGCCTCTGACTGAAAAACAAGCTGATAGATGCTGATAAAACTTGTTTGAAAGTCATCTCTCTTCTGTACAGAAGGGCTGAATGCTTGCTATGGGCCATATTTTTCCTTTTTCCTCCCAGACATTTTCTCTAATAACAAACCAAATAAATGAAGCCAGGAAAAAAAAAAAAAGTGAGAGTAAACCTTATTCCATAAATGGAATACAAAGAAATTCTTTTAAATAATAGCAGATGATATTTCTTCTAATTTTTGTTAATAGATCATTTTACTCAATTTTTCAATGATACTTTCATCTCATTGACAAACTGACTTACTGAGAAAGAACTGACCTCTGAGTATTAGAATATGGACAGGCTTAGTGCAAGTTTTAATACCTTAATATTCAGTAACACAAGAAAATCTGAGCGCAGTTATCCAGCCTCCCAACCACAGTTGGTACAGTCTCAGCCAGCTCAGAGCATAAGTAGAAAAGTTTAGATCTGTCTGGCCTTCTTACAAAGACATAACCTAACTTCCTGTGAGACCTGTTAGAGTCTAACTTCTACTTTAGCTTTTCATCTTGAATCACTGAAACCACATCAAAGTAGCAGCTGCTGTAATCCAAGATGAACAGCAATCATATATTTCACCTTGTTTGGATTCACTAAACACCTTGGATATTTTTTGTTTAATCTAAAAATTTTCTGTTGTATGTAAAATCTCCTTTTCTTATTTTATTAGTTTATGAGATGAATGATATATGTGTAAAGAAGGAGGCCTACTTAATCTATTTTTCTGTTTTTCACAAGGGAGTACTACTAGCCTAGGACCTATTTATGAAAACACAGCAAATGTTTGTCACTTTTTATTATTTTTTTCTCTGTAGGAAGGTAAATTTAATAAATTTACTTGTTTTGTTAAGTAAACTATTTCCTATCTACTAAAAAATTCAGAAATAATGATATTACTTTTCAGTTTGTTAAAATTAAATATGCACACATAGAAATATGTGAGTTACAGGATTGCACTGAAATTTCACATATATCTCACCTATAGTTTTTAATGTTAATGGCTTAAAAATACTAAATAGGTGTGCTGGAAATAGTTATGTGTTCCCTGTATTTCAGTTATTGCTGTTTCTCAATTTTTGTGCAGACATGGGTGATGGTATCACAGAATCGCAGAATTGTTAGGGTTGGATGGGACCTCTGGAGCTCATATGGTCCAAACCCCGTGCCAAGGCAGGGTCACCCAGAGCAGGTGACACAGAAACATGTCCAGGTGGGTTTTGAATGTCTCCAGAGACAGAGATTCCACAATGTCCCCAGGCAGCCTGTTCCAGTGCTCTGCCACCCTCAATGCAAAGTTCTTTCTCATGTTGAGATGAAACTTCTCGTGTTTTAGTCTAAGGCCATTGCTCCGCATCCTGTCAGTGGGCACCACCGAAAAGAGTGTGGCACCATCCTCTTGATATCCACTTTGAGATATTTATATACATTAATGGGATCCCCTCTCAGTCTTTTCTTCTGTAGACTAAAAATTATGCTAGGCACTGCATATAGATGTATTAACAGGTAGTCCCTACCCTGAAACACTTTTAAAGGTAGTAAGTAACACGCAGAGTAGGAGAAAGGAAAACTTATATTTCTTTAAAGGCAATTGATGGAGTTGCAAAGACTGAGAAAGAAAAGTGGTTTGAGGTAAGGGACTGATAGCATACTCCTTTTTTTCAGTCAGATATCACCCTTATTTTAAAAACACTGCCATACAGTCTTTTTTTTTTTTTTAAGTAAGGAAAAAGCTGTATTGGTGCTAAAGTTCACGTGAGAACCACTGGCTTACAATTACAAGAACAGAACAATCAGACATTGCCTTTTTGGTCAGGATGTTTCCTGATTTCAGAAACCATCCTGGTCTTATAATGAAGATCTTAAGGGTGTTATTTTGTTCCAGCATTTTATCCAGGACATGAGATTTTACCTCTGTCAGACTGGGAAGGTACAGGGCAGGAGAGAAGGTTCTTACCTGACTTTCAGATTGATTAACATGAATCAGTGATGACACAGGATATATGACCTGACAGGGGGCCATGCCTTTCTGCTTCTCTCCACTCTCACCTCATGACATAATCAATGTGTCCCTCCTATTATGATCCAATGCAGAATTCTTTTTGTTGTTTTTCTCAGGATTGCACAGTTGTACAATAACTTTTCTCAGTTTTATTTCTGTTAAAGCAAAAAATAACTTTTCGATTTTTTTGCAATGTGTAAAAAATTTTGTTTGTTATTGTTTCAGGACACAGCAGGACAGGAGAGATACAGAACAATTACCACAGCTTACTACCGCGGTGCAATGGGCTTCATTTTGATGTATGACATCACAAATGAAGACTCTTTCAATGCTGTGCAGGATTGGTAAGTAAAACTTGGAATTCATAGTAGATATCAGAGAGAATATGTGCTATCACTTTTCTGCTGTGACAGTATAAATTATTTTGGAAAACTTATTTCCAAATACAGGGTTCGAGCATTCCTATACCCAAATAGGGGCATAGGAATATTGGGGTTTTTTTAATTCAGGAAAGACAATGAACATACAATTAATTGTAATAATTGTGTTTGCTGTGATTTCAGTGTAATGTAAATTATTCATACAACTTAAACCAGCAACATGCTAGTGTGGAGGGTAACTTCTAAGATACCAGAAACTGTTTCCATAGTTCATGGAAAAATTGATATACCATGTGTGAATGTCATCTTTTAATTTTTCATCATGTTGCTTTTAACCACAGCTAGATATACATTATGTCAGTCTTGTGCCTCAAGTGTTAAAATGAGCAAACTTTATCACAGTAGCAGAACCTGGAATGGCTGAAAATTACATTACCTTGCGTTATTTGAATATCCAGTTGTCTCCATAAAAGTGTTTTTTTAATCACACATGGGCTTTTTAAAGTAAAGCTAACATAAAAGGAAAGCCAGAGTTTACCTCAGTGATTTCTTCCTTAACAAGTTATTTTAATATATGAGAGCCATCAGCAGTGCTCTGAGTGATATGAATAACATTTTCCATGTGTGGTCCACATGCTCTCTTGCATGCAGTTCCCTCTCCATGTGTTTGAGAGAGGATTTTTTTCAGTTTGTGTGATTTGTTCAGTATGTTTCTTAGGCTTTTTTAAAATTTATTTTAAGATATGCTCTACTGTGGACTTCTTTCAGGACAGACAAGGTCAGAAACATGTTGCACACTCAAAGAGTAGTGATACTATCGCGCCTGTTTTTAGCAGGAATTGTTGCCCAGCCTTGTTGTCCAAGAAAGCAACTTTTTCTCTTTCACATTCTTCTGCTTACCATTGTTGTAGAAAGTGTCATGGAGCCCACAGAGCACCTTCCCTCTCAACAACTGGAGTTATTGGTCTATATAAGCTGAGACTGACCATTTATCACTCTGAAAGTAATAACTGAGAACCTTAGGTTGATTCTGCTCTAAATGGGATCTCGATTTGCCTAACGTTTGCTTTGTAAGCACTAAGGATGTAGTCATTCACAGTCCTCCAGGGAAAAGAGGCAACTCCAGATTGTGTCCCACCTTTTTACATCAAGTTATCTGTAGGAATCTACACAAAATTGTCCTTATGAGCAAATCTTTCTGTTTATGAGAGAATCAATAAGCTTACCTGACTAGTACAGACTGGACAGCTGTCTTTTGGACAAATGAATATATCTAAGTGGAGTCTCTGCTTGATACTACAAGAAGAAGGCACGTTTGCTCCATGTTATTTGTTATGCCAAAGGGATGTTCTGCCCATGTTGTACAAAAGCTGGAAGCATCATACTGAGTACTTGATGTAACACGTTTGTGAGAACCGCCTCTGTTCAACAGCATGAGTCAGAATCTCCTACCTAACAGAAGTTAGCTGAAAGTGTTATTCATAGATGCTTCTATGAAAGTTTAGCAAAAACAGGGAATCAAGCAGTACACCAAAATCCTAGCTGAACCTGCAGATGTGACCACCAGCAACACTGCTTCCTGGCCCTGCCAGCTGAAGCACTGTCTTGCTTTGCCTCTGCTTTTCATTATCCATGGGCTGACTCTGCTCAAGCACTGGGTTAAATGGGTGATAATGTCTGTCTAGGACAAGCTGTGATCTGCAAATCTCATTGTCCCATCTCTAGGCAAACCAGATGGCATGCCATATATTATCTAGCTTCCTCCAACACAAAGAATTCTTTTATAGCAAGTGTAAATATGAATTCTTATTATTAGTTTTTCCACCTGTTTGTTTTCCAGTCTCCTAGATCTGATATGTTTGGCACTCTTTATCTCCTGGTGAAGGAACAGGGCTTCATACTAATTAAAAAGAAAAAAGTCACTGTAAAATGAAGCAAGAAAATATTTAAAAGCTATGGAGTTCTTAAGTAGGTTTATGAAATATGAGTTTTTCATAATTTTTATCTAGAACCTTTATGAATTGTTGGCAGATATTATAGAAATTTGGTGGAAAGATGTGGTTGCAGTATTAGTGTCAAGATCTACAATCATCTGCAAGATGAAAGGAATGATAGATATGCTGAGTGCCTCACTTGTCAGAATGAGACATAGATTTGCCTTTTATAGATTTTTAATATCATAAGCCCAGTTGCTGCTCTGCTGTTCTTCCTCTTTTTATTCCTCCCATCTCAGAGCTGATAATTGATTTTGATTAGCCTTGGCTTCAATTCTGATAGTAATTACAAAAACAAAGCTTGCTTCTGAATGTGAGAAAAGTTAAGAAAAACTCGCAAATACCAATGCTGCAGAAGAGCAGGCATGGCTATGTGCAGGTATCTGTGTCTTTCTGAAAGATATGGGAGAGGGAGTGCGAACTTTTAAGCCTCTCTGGAGTTTAAAATGCATTTCTCTGTGATAAATATGCCTTTCTAAGCAGTACTGCCACTTCATATACATGAACAATAGGCCAAATCCAAGCTCAAATCATATCAGCTTCAAGACTTGATCTAGAAACTGCTCTGCAGTCTGAACAGTGAATCTACAGGTACCTTTTAGAATTGGATAAACGACTTTGGTTTAAAATGTGTGCTGAGATGATTCTTTATATTAAAAATCATTTTTTTGAATCTGACTGACATTTCTCCTTTATAGCTACAGATACAGATGAATAATAGTTGTATCTCTAGATGCTAATGCCGCAAGCTGTGTACCTTGAAGTAGTTGGATGTACATTTATCATGCCCCCCTAAAAAGACACAGATTTGGGGAATAGATTTATTTCCTATAAAGAGGAACCCATTGTAGAGCATCATTTTCTGCTTGCCTTAGTTCTAAATGAGAAAGTGGATATAATCAAATAACCAAATCTTCCCATTTAGCTGAATTTTTTAGACAGTGTTCACATGTTTTAAGTAATTGGCCTAGTGGGATCTATTTTCTTTAAAAATTCCTTCTTCTTAAATCTAAGGGGAAAATGAGTGTTGAGAGTGGCACTGTGCCACTTCAGTGCTTATTTTTTTAGTTCAGTTGTAATGTGCAGTGCTTGCATTAATTCCTGTTTTATGCTACTACCTGTAGCATCTCTGTAGCTTATCCATCTCTACATTTCACTAGGAGCTGTTATGTCCCTTTTCCTTTTAGTGGTTCAATCCACATAAGGTGTGACCTTTATGGTGGTGGTACCTTGTGGTAGGGAGGAGAGGGCTTTTTACTGTCTTTCCAAAACAACTTTGCTATCAACTCAATATGCTGAGTTCTGTAGAATTTCTAGGAAAACAAATGCCTCTGAGTTGAAGTTAAACCTGTTTTTACAAATACGACTTTTCTAGACTTCTAATGACTGAATTGGAAGGAACTGAAATATCCTTATACTCAGGTTATTTCTAATGCAATATCTCCCCCTAGGTCAGAAACAGCTGGTATGTAAACCATGATCTAAAAGCCTGAGTGGTTTTTTTCCAGGTTGAAAGCCTAGACTTGAAACTTCTCTAGGTCAGAAGGCTAGATAGGGATAGAGCACATTGTATATATTTGTTTACACAAGTTGCTCCTCTGCACTTGGAAACATTGTCCCAACTACAAGTGTTTGTCTGGCAATATCTTTATCACTGTCTGGTGACAGTGATAAAGGCACTGTTGTGAAGGGCTTCCCTCTGCAGGAATTCAGTATTTGAGAATTCCACATTGCTGAAGTCCCAGATTCAGGAATGCTTCCTCAGGAAACACATAAGGCTGAAGGAGCCTAAGAGGCTTTGAATTATTGAAGTTTTTAGATTATCTGTCTTTTGTAAGCCTGTCAAGGTCTACAAAATCAGTTCTTCCTCCATTTTTGGCTGACGCTTATGGGAGCAGGGAAGACAGTATTCTAGGAAATACTTTGATTACCCTCACCCTTAAAAGAATTAAGTTTTTACCAAAAATTTTATTATAGTTTTTTTAATGCCCCAATGGAAAAATTATGGTTACACATCTTCTTAAGAAATTCAGAGACTCCTCCATGCAAGATACTTCTCTTTCCTCTTTTTCTCTAAATATTGAACTTAGTTCTATCATTTAAGAAAAATCCATTATTTGCTGTATGTCAGGGAACAAATCTGGAAAGTGCTTCTAGGCAAACTTAGCCTCCACCTCTCGTTGCTAAAACACATGACGTGCCATGCAGCACAGTCCACGTGGTTCTGCTGCACAGAGCACAGACACATGCCATGTATGCCATTGCCCATGCATGTTCCTGGGATCCCTGTCCTGAGGGACTCTCTCTGGACACAAGCTGCACTGTGTACAGCAGTGATCTACGCACAAACTGAGTGTCTGCCGTGTAGAGCAACCTCAGCACGGCAATAAGCTTAGAGCCAGCTGTAAAAATATTCTGACCAATCATGCTAATGTTAAAGGTATATATACCTTAATTTATATCTATCTATAGATAGAAAGATAGATAGATATGTACACACACACACACACACACACACACACACACACACATGAGTTATATGTAAGGCGGTGGAGCTGCGGTCATTTCCAGGAGATTTAAACTGCTGCAGGGAGCACGGCAAACAGGGGCATGGCACGTCAGTGAGAATGTGGCACAGCAGTTTGCATGGCAGTTGGCACAGGCAGGGTGAGCAGGATGGGCACAGCCACCCTCCCAGCTCTCTGTGGTGGGTTGGGAGGTAGGTGTGTGGCTGTCAGTTTTTGGTTTGTGTTTTGGGTTTTTTTTCTCTCAATCCAGCAATGGTTTCCAAACATCAAAAGCCTACTGCTCTCAGGGGGAGTGTGCTAACCCAGACAGAACCGCCTAGGAGAGATGCAGCTGTTCAGGTCACTGGCTGCAGTGTCTGAGCCTGGTGTCAGTACCAGGGGACAGTGTGAGAGATGCCTGCAACGATGTGAGCAGGTGAATGATTTGCTGTGCTTAGTGACA